AACCCAGCAGATTTGTCAAGGGCAGAAATAATTCAGGGACTTTAGCAATACAAATTTTCCCTTTTATTAACATTTATTAGCAGATTTGACATTATATATTTCTGGGAGCAAATTTTCAAACAGGTTTTTTGTTTAAAACAAACAGCTTTATTGAGGTATAATTGACATAGAGTCTCACACACTGAAATGTACAATTTCAAAAGTTCTGACATCTGTATACACAAATCAAATCTTCACTACAATCAAGATAAGAACACATCCACTACCCAAAAGTTTCTGTGTGCCACTTTGAAATCCCTCCCACATTTACCCTAAGCAACCACTGATTTACTTTCTGTTGCCATACATTAATCAACTAGTGTGTTTAATTAGCAATTGATGGTGATATTTATCAAATATTTGAGGGGTGGTAAGAAAAAAATGAAAGACCATAAAAAGGTAGTTTCTACTGGCAGGAAAACAAACTAAATAGTTTTTAAAGATGAAGGAAATTTAAAATTTAAATTTGGGTGAAGAAATTAATAAAAATTTATGAGGATATTTTATTTCACTGAGAAATTGTTGACTTGTGATGCTACCTAGTAGTTAATGGCATTACTAAAGTCTTTATATGGCTATCATATTTTTATATTTCATTCATTAGCTTAGTCAATAGGGGTTGGTTGGTTGTTTATTTGTGCCAGTGACTGGGATAGGGGAACTCAAGAGTTAAAGATTTTAGCTGTAGTTATAGTTGATAGGCTTAAGTGATTAACGCATGTGGAAAGCTGTTGTTCCAGGAACTGGAATACATGACATATGTGACTCCAGGAGGTCCACAGGCAAGCCCACCTTTGTGTCCTGGGGGTCTGCAACTCTACAAGTGATCGGGATGATATCCGAACCATTGTGTTCCAGGAAGAGAAGTCAGTAACATAGATAAAGAATTGTTGATCAGTAAACAAAGAAATATACCAGGAAAATTCGCCACTGGACTGCAACTCTTACTTGATTAACGTTTTTCCCCAAACCCCTTACCTACCGTTTTCTTCTCCTCATCAAAAGGTTGGCTTGAGATGAGGTGTTGAGATGGTTTTTAGGGTACATAACCTGCCATCTTCTCAAATCGCTGGCATCTGAATAAAGTGCCCATAAAGATTCAATCCTTTTCTCTACTTATTGGTTCTTATGGTGCCAGATGTCATGAATGCCGACTTTTTCTACTTAGGAAGAGGGTAAACTTGTGGTGGCAAGATCATGTAGACTTGTGCTGTCCAATACATTTGCCACTAGCCACATGTGGCTATTTACACTTAAACTAAAATTTAAATTCTACAGTTGCACTAACCACATTTTAAGTTCTCGACAGCACAGATAAATTCCCATCATTACCGAAAGTTCTATTGGACAGAACTGATTCAGAAGACTCTTGAGGTACATTATCTGCAGTGAGGGTGAGGAGGGTCAAAGCTGAGGCTGTGGCAATGAGATGGAGAGGAGGGATATCTCTGAGATACTTAATGTGATGCAGAAGAAAGATGAGGACTCATTTAGGATGTCTTCTAAGTTTCTCCCTATGGTAAATGGGTGGATGGTAGAAATCATTCACCAACAAAGTACATGTAGAATAAGCAGGATTTGGAGAGGGGATGAAATCAGATTTGTACCCAGTTGAGTGAGAGGCAAGCCTGGGACAGTGGTCTGAGAAGCTGTTGGATCTCAGAATATGATCTGTGGGAGTCTGGGTGGAGACAGAGTTCCGAGAAAGGGGCAGTATCCTTGGGTAGGGGTGGGGCCATGTAGTTGAGCAAGGGCTAGAGAAAGTAGACTGAAGGCTGCCAGAGGCTGGTGCCAGGGCCTGGGAAGCACTAGCATTTAGGGCAGGGTTTTTAAAATGTTACCAAACGGCAAGTGGGGTCCTGCTGCCCGCTGCTTCCCTCTGGGCAAAATTCCAGAGGCAAAGGCTTGGTGATAAAGGAAAGGAGTGTATTCAAAAGCTACACAATTTTCGAATAACAGCTTTCTACATGCTTTAGTCACCTCAGTCTATCAATTATGTCTAAAATCTTGAACTCTTTAGTTACAGCTTCATCACTTAAGCCTTTTATTAAGGCTAAACTTTTTAACACCTGAGTTCCCCTATCATTTCCCCCTGTTGGTTTTTAATTATCTTATTTCTATAGGGTTAGTTTACAAGCTAAAACATAAGATACAAAAGTTAAACAATTCTGGAAGACTGTCAGGCTTCTGCCTCAAAGCTCACCCCTCCACCCAAAGGATAACCCTGCCCCCCTCTGCCAAGCCAGCCCGACCCTAGACTGCACCCAGAGTTCCTTCTTTTCCAAAATACCATCCCTTGGAAAAGGCAGGCAGCTGCAGCACGACCATCCTGGAATCCTCGAGAAAGCAGGCCTGAGAGCCGGAGAGCCAGCCCCTCCCAGAGTCCGAGAGCCCTTCTTTCATTTCAAATCCTCTCGCCCATAATTCCATGCGCTCTGAAGGCATTCAGCTTCTCAGCCTATCCCATCCTAAACTGTTTACTACTGCCTCCTCCTACGTTCCCTCCTTACTCCTCCCCAGGGATCTGATCAGATCTCTGTATCAAAACTGTGAGTGGGTGAAGAAATTAACAGACTAGATCTCCACCAGCATTAAAAATGTACTATAGAAAATATTAATATGCTTTGCACATAATCTGAGTTCAGATATTTTCCTGAAACATTCATGGATATATTTACACACATACATGTACCTTGGATTGCAAGGTAAAACATACTTCTGGGTTGTGGCCCAATTAGCCTAAATGTCACTGATTTAAAAAATGAGCATCACAGACTATAAACTAGCTACATGCAAACTGGGACAATGTCATTTTTCTCATTACCCCAAATCCTGGCACATAGTGCCAGTCACTCATTGAAGACAAACTGCATGAAGGAATGAATCAACACACCAGAGAGGTAACAGAAACCTAGGAAAAAGGTGACTTAGGAGCTAAAAAGGGCGAGGAGGAAACAAACCAGCGTCAGGTGTCAGTGATTTGGCAATGTTCAGAGCATGGATGAGCTTGTTTGTGCAACTGCTGTGGACTGGCAGGAGCAGAAGCGAGACTGAAGATGTAGATGGGAGACAAGGAAGTAGAGGAGACAAATTACAGTGGAGATTGAGAGAAATATGTTTTCTACTCAAGGTGGGAAAGTTCAACATGTGTTGAAGAGATTGTAGGAAAGGCATGATCTAGAACTGTGCTGTCAAATCATGAAATCACTAGCCACCTGTGGCTGTTTAGATTAGAATGACATTAAAATGCAGTTCCTTAACAATACTAGCGCCATTTCAAGTACTCAATGGCTGTTTTGAACAGAGGTGATATAGAACATTTCCATCATTGCAGAAAGGTCCACTGGAGAGGAAGGTCTAGAAAAGAGCTTTCATTCATCATGTCTGTGCTGGCCTCAAACAGGCAGTGCACAGCACCCAACCTCCTACTCGAAATTTCTAAACCCTGCAGAAACTGCTGGGAATTACATTACAACCTATCCACGATGACAGGGCATTTGGTCTCCATGAGGGTTTGGTCAACCCCCGTAGAGGCCAGTTGCACACATCACGGATGCTACTGCTTTGGGACATGATCAGGGCAGTCGGGCAGTACAGGTGTTCCGGACGTTTCCCACCAAATGCAGCAAAAACGTGTGAGGAGCTGTGGCACAAGACACAAAGGTGACAGATGTTGGCGGACTGCTGCACAGGACCGGAGGGAGGATTCGGGCCAGGTGCACAGGTGGGTAGAACGCAGTCATTACAATTTTACAAAATTAAAGTGACTGCTGGAGAAGAAATAAGAAACTGTTTGATTTCTATATGTAACTCTCATGGTTTTTGTAGGCGCCTCAATAATAAAAAGGCATGTGACAGCAGGCTGAGGCGTTCACCATGCACCACACCTGTCCACTTAAGACACAGTCCCGCTGACTCACTGCAGTGAGCAACGTCACCCATGGAATCTAAAAATTAAAGTCAATAATTTTGTGGAACAATGTCTTTGCGATCATTTTCAAAGGAATATTTGGCTCTGCTTGTTAAAAGTTTTTTTCACGGGGAGATTGAGAAGCGTGGGAGGAGGGAGGGCTCCTTGGTAACCCAGCCTCCCACATCCAGGGCGAGCCCCAGCCCGCCCTCCTGAATTCAGGCCTTCGGCAGAAACACCACGTCCTCTCGGCCTCGCCGGGCGACACCTGCGGGTGGTGACCGGGTCGCGGTGCTCAAGTCCTTTCCCGGACGCGCAGGTCTTCCACAAGCTCCTCCTGGCGCCGCGCTTTTGAGCTTCAAGAGCGCCGAGGCTCCGCGGTCAGATTTCTGGTGAGCGCGCGCGGGTGTCAAAGACCCCAACGATGCGACGTTCCGGGGAACAGGGACAGGGTTCGGGGCACGGCCGTTAGCGCCTGCCGGCGAGGTTTGTCCCTCGGAGCCGTTCGTTACACAGTTGCTTAGGGCACTGCTGACTTCACTGCAGTGAGAACACACACTTGTGGAAAACGATAGCCGATCCCAACTGCACTGTCCGCTCGTTCTAGGACTAGAGCGCCGAAAGCCCACCCGCCCACTTCCGGCGCGGCTTCCGACAACCCGGGCGAGGCCGGAAGTGGCCTCCTGCTCCCGGAGCCGCAGTGCAGTAAAGCAAGATGACAGCACTCCCTCTGAAGTGGTTGTTCAGTCTTTGTCCTATTTGCAGAACTTCTGTACCCGCCAGTCTCTCTCGATTTCCATCCCTCTCCATGGTTTTCTCAGAAAATCTCGCTCGTATTTCAACGCCGCTCAGCTGCGGTGGAGTACGGGCTGGAGACAACGTGAGGTGACTCGGCTCCGTCAGGCGCCATCTTGTACGGAAACTGAGGGCCGGGCGGGGCGAGTGGCCGGGAATCCCGAGGAGGCGAGCTGGCGGGAGAGCGTGAGCAGGAGGGCGGGGGGGGGGGGGGACGGGGGGCGTGGTTACTGCGCGGTGTAGTTCCGCTTCCTCTCGGCTCTGCCCTACTTGGTTGGGCCGGCTTGTTGCGGGGGGCGGAGGGAAGGTTGTTTGGAACTCCGCGCACGGTAAGGTAAACTGAGGCGAGGCTGTGTGTGGCGATCTCTGCACCCGCCTGTGCCGGAGGTCCGGAGACCGCGCCCTTGGGCTCGAGAAAGCGTGTGGGGTTGGAGACTTGAGGCCCGGAGAGTTCGTAGGCTGGCGAGAGACGAGGAGGTGGGGCGGTGGTGGGGGCTGCGAGGGGAATCGTGGGGGCTGCGGGCGGCCGACGGGCGTGCCCACGGAGGGTGAGCCCGGGGGCCGCTGGGGGGCGGGCGGGAGCGGCGGGGACGCCGAGGGGGACCTCGGGTCCGGGAGGGCTGAGAAGTTGGGGGGGGGCAGTGGTACTCCGGGGCCGTGGGAGGACGAGAGGGGGGCCTAGGGCCGGACGCTCTGAGGCTGAGCACGTCCTTGTCCTTTGTTTCCCGTGCAGGTCCCCAGACGCCCCTCCGCGGCCTCCGCTCGGGCCCGGCAGCCCGCCCGCAGCCGTCGTCCCCCCGAATGGTGCGCCTCCTCGCAGGCCGCGGCCCGGGATCCAGGCCTCCTGTGCCCCTCGCCTCGGAGCGGCAGGTCCCGGCGGCCGGGAGGAAAGAACTTCGGCACAGACGAGGCCGTAGCTCCGGGAGCCCCGCCGACGCCTGGAACCTCAGCGTCTGACTCAGTGCGAGGGCCCCTGCGCCCCCCGCCCCGTCTCTGGGAAGAGGAGCCCTCTGGCCACCGGAGCCCAGGGAGGCCAGGCTGGGGCCCCGGTCCCGGCATGCCGGTCCCCTCCTGTGCGTAGGGCCGTGCCCGCCCCGCGTCGGCATGGCCGAACTCCGGCCGGTCCCGGGGGGGCGGGAGACCCCTCAGGGGCAGTTGCGGCCGGAGGTCGTGGAGGATGAAGTCCCTCGGAGCCCCGTGGCGGAGGAGCCCCGAGGAGCTGGGAGCAGCAGCGGCGAGGCCAAACTGTCGCCGGGGGAGGAGGAGGAGCTGGATCCTCGAATACAGGCGAGACGGACGGGGAGGGAGGGGCGCCGGCTTCCCTGCAGGGCTGGCCGGGGGAGGGCGCCGGGGCTGGGGGGGCAGGCCTGTCAACAGGTCGTTGCAGTGCAGTGACCGGTGCGGAAAGAGGACTCTGGGCCGGGAGGGCCGGGAGGCCGGCGAGCCCCCGCGCGGCCGAGCCCCGCTGCTGCGGCAGGGAGGGGACGGTCGCCGCGGAGCGCTGTCGCGGTGGCCCCTGCCGGGCGGGCGCGGGCCTGTCGGCTCGGGCGGGCGCGGGGCCGGGAGCGGAGCCAGTCTCGCCGTATCAGTGCCTCCCAGGGGTGTTCACCCCTTTAAAGGGTGGGACCTTGCATGTGTCGTAAAGGTGGCCTGAGGCGTAGGCCCCTGAGGAAACCCGGTGTGGGTCGGCCGTGGTCAGTGTCCAGTGACACAGGCGTCCAGCCCGACGGACGCTGCTTCTGTCCGGCGCCTGGGAGCGAGTACAGGCCGCGAGGTGGGTGGGTCGGATCTTTGGGAAGGAGACCTGGAGTGACGGGTGGGGGCGAGGCGGGCAGGCGCTGCCTGCGGGGGGGCGGGGGGCGGCCGCCGCGATTCCGGGCGGCGATTCCGGGCAGCGCGGGGCCGGGAAGGGCCAGCCTGGGGGACCGCCTGGGCCGGCGAGGGCCCGCGAGTGTCTGCGTCTAGCGCTGGCTCTGCCCTTGGCTTCGGAGCACCTTCAGAATTTCTGATGTGCATGTGACTCACACCTGTAGGCGAGCAACACACTCGGAGGCTTGCATTCCTGGGCTTCTCTGTCAACAACCCTTCAGTCGATTACTTTTGTGTGTTCAGAAGAAATCAAAGCTGGTCCTAGAACCCTTCCAGCCACCTTGGTGGGGTTCCTGGGGTGTATGCGGGAACCATGTCCCTGCTCCCAGTGGAGCTGCCGTGAGTCAGGGACATTCCTGCTGTGTCGTTGCATTGAAATCAGCTCAATTTCTCCTGCTCACTCTATAGATTTGCCCTCCTCTGAAGAAACAAGTTGTAGCGAAAAATGCCTTAGACTGAGACTGACGCAGCCTCTTGCCCCAATGATTTGTGATTTTCACGCAGGTTACACAAGGGCTGCCAGCCTCAGCCTCCCTATGGCGAAGTGAGGGGTGTCCTCGCGGATTCGTGTGACTCCTTCCCACCCTGCTCTGACAGTTCTATGACTCTTTTCTTTCACAAGTTGTTTAGTTGGTGTCTTGGTGACAGTTTGCAGGTAGTGCTTTGGGAACGGGAGCCCTGCACATGTCGGGGAGGAGGGCCAGCGGTGTGCTGCCTGCTCCCTGCGGGGTCCCAGGCCCTGCTCCCGAGGAGGAGCCAGCAGCTTCCTCCCGCCGTGCCCCCTGCTCCTGTGCTGCCCAGTGCCCGCACAGCCGCACTCCTGTGCTTCCCTCTCCGGTCGCATAGCCACTAGCTGCACGAGGTTACTTAAAATAAATTAAAATGAAGTAAAAACTGATGATGCTGTTCCCCGGTGCTGTTGGCAATGTAGAATTAGGACTTTCTGCCATGGGCAGTCCCATTGGATAGCTCTGTGAGGTTTGGAGTATGCTGGGCACGCTGATACCCACAGGTCTCCAGTGAGCCCACCGTGACTTGCCTAAGTAGAAACTGCGTTGCGGCTTATGTAGGAAGGAAAGGTCTCATTGCACGGGCCTCCCTTGGTGGTGGTGGCCCTTGGCACAGCCAGTGTCCTGGCCTCAGCGGGGATTCAGCCCTTGTTGCCATGTGGGAGAGGCAGGCTGCCGTGAGGGCACCCTTCACGGAGTAGGCAGTTGGCATTCAGCCTTTCTGGACTTGGGCTTTTCTGGATGCAGACGAGAGTGGGGTGTGTGCCTTTGCAGGTCCCTTTTCTGCTGACAGTGCACAGACCATGTTCTCTCAATAATGTGTTTCAGTGCTGTAAGCGGGTTCTTGGTGCATTCAGTGGGTCTTTACACACAGATCCATCAAACTCACCAGGGAGCTCTAAGAGCACCTGTCTGAGCTGTGCCCAGCCGTGGGCATCCCTTTGGCCTTGGCGGGCAAGAAGTGATTCTAACAGGCAGCCGGGTGAGTCCACTGGGGCAGGAGTATCTGAAGACAGAGACCCTGTTCAGGTATTTTCTGGAACTTCGGGTGAGTCTCTTTTTGATGGGGGGACTGGGGTTTCTTGTTTGTCTGACGGGATCCCTTGGAAGTCGAAGGGAAGCCAGCTGGAGGCCACGGGACCTGTCTTCACCACGTCTTGACCTCAGCCTAGTTCTGTGAGGCCTCCAAGCTGGTCCTGTGCTCTGTGAGACAGGGAGGGTCCCAGGGGAGGAGGGTGGTGCTGGGTGGGCCCGAATCCCCTCCTTTGCGCCTTTCGCACCCTCTTTACGATGGGCACGCTTGTTCCAGAGGTGAGTGGGCACATTCACTCAGATGCTGCCCCCAGACTGTCAGGGGCGACTCCGCAGCCTCTGCCTCTCCACCTGAGATGCTGGTTTAGCTCACGGACAGCTCGGTTTCCCTTATTTTTGAGATGCGGGCCGCCTGTCGCCCTGGCCCTGCCCTCTGGCCATGGCTTAGAGTTTTCATGGTGGCACAGGCATGTCAGCAGCCCGAGCAGCCTGGCATCCTGGAAATGCACCGTGTGCCCAGGAAGGTCACCCTCCCTGCTGGCTGCAGGCTTACCAATGGGCAGTATTTGCTGACTCAGACCTCACTTTCCTGGAGTTTTATGTCAGCAGCTATCAAGAGTCCCCAGCAGGGCAGGCTGTACGGAACGGGTTGCCAGCTGCCCGAATGGCCCAGCCTGGCTGCCCCTACCACCCTAAACAGCCCTTTAGAAAGAGCTTTGTGACTGACCGAGGGGCAGACCTCATTCCACAGAGGACTTTCAATTGCTGGAGCCGCCTTTCACCAAGAGCTAAAGCCCTGCACGTCCTTTTTCCATCTCCAGTGAGGATGGCTTCCGGAGAGCCATCTGCTCTGATGATCTTGTCAGGAGCTGGGAGCACGCTGGGCCAGGGAACCGAGGGAGCGGTAGCCTGGACCGTGGTCTGCCGACCAGAACAACGCAGGGGGGCCTGCAGCCCACTCCTCTTCTCCCCCAGAATCAGTGCTTGGTGCTCTCCTGAGGCCTGTCCTTTCCTGTCAGGGCCGTGGCTTTCTGAGGTGATGAGGTTCCTGTTTTCTCTGAGGTGTCCATCCAGGGACGTCCTTAGTGCTAGGAGGGTGGTCACAGTAGCTGGAAAGCCTGACCAAAGGGCAGGTACAGGGTCCAGCCCCAACTCTCATTGACGGATGGATGCTCACCTCATTGTTCCTTGTCCAGAGAATGAGCTGAGAAAGGGAGGATGCTGGTGGGGCTGCTGGGAGGGCGGCACCCCTCGTCCTGGAGTCTGAAACCGCCACGGCCGAGGCAGACACAGGTGCTGGGCCCTCGGGGAGACAAGGCCTCCCGCCCTCCAGGAATTGCCTGCTCTGGGGGCCCATGGGGGCACCTCCACCAGCTCTGGGCGGTGTGCCTGTGGGTAAGGCAGTGAGGCCAGGAGCTGTGCGGTGCACAACTGCCCCTTCTGGCCTCCCTGGGGTCCCTGAGTGCGGCCGCCCGGGGTCCGGGCTCTCGTGTTTTCTGACGGACACTGGGGTGTGTGACTGACTAGGTGGCCCATGCGCACTGCTTCCTAGGCCGGAACTGCCTGGTACAGAAGACAAGTGCTGCTGGCCACGCTGGATGTGCCCTGGGGGCCAGAATGCGCATGGCAAGTTCAAAGGCATAGTCTTAAAAAAAAGAATGTAAAATATGTTAATAACTTATTTTGAAAATATATTGAAATTACAATTTCTTGGCATATATGGTTAAAAGAAAAGTGTTACAATTTCATCTCTTTGGTTTTTCTTTTTTTTAATGTGGCTGCTAGAAAACTAAAAAGTGCACAGGAGGCTCCCATTGTATTTTTGTTGGGCAGCTCTGTTCCGTCCAGCATGAGGCCCTCTCGGAGGCAGGCTCAGAGTGCTTCCATATCTTTGTTTTTGGTTCTGCTGTGTGTCTTCCTTTGTGTACTTCCTTTATTGTGATCAGGGCATGGGATTTGGTTTCCTAGATTCTTGCTTGCATACTCAAATCTCAGGGCCCGAGGAGGGTGATAGAAGTATAAAGACCACGGGAGTCACACCCTGGGTTGCTGGAAGAGCCAAACGAGGCATGTGGGGACCGACAGCAGCAGTGTGACTCCTGGCCCAGTGCAGGCCGTGTCTGGGCATGGGCCGCAGGCAGATGCAGGCAAGGCCAGCTGGCTGCCTCGGGCCTCTGCAGGGAGTCCCTTAGCTGAGCCTCAGATGTCTCCTGGGGCACTGCTCCTCAGGAGTGTCCTTGGCTTGTTGGGCTCCGGGAACGTGGCTTAGAAAGGTCATGGTGCACACTCGAGGCCAGCACTCCTGCCTGCTCTCTGTTCCAGGTGGTCCTGGGTCCACTGTGTCTGGCAACTTCTCCCTGAGGCTCTTCCTTTCTCCCACAGGATCTACTGAGTTGGGGACCTGGGGTTACTGTCACCCTACTCCCGAGCAGGCCTTAAGGCCTCTCGAACCACGCATTCCTCCCTAACCCGGCCTCAGTTGCCCATCAGGTCCTGGTGACTCTGTGTGCCGAGTGTCCCTGGACCTGTCCTTCCTTCCCCCAGCTGCAGTACTGCGGGCAGCCTCCGCCATTGCCTCCCTGGGCTCTCTCCCCACTCATTGCTCACATGCTCAGATAGGCCGGGTTGTGCCAGGCTCTGAGAGGCTCCCCTCCCCTGGGCCCCAGCCTCACTGGCTTCTCACCTGAGCACCTGCCTCCTGGCACCTGCCTGTCACTGGTACTTTCTGTACATCCATCGAGGCCCAGTCTTGGGGCAAGTGCCCTGGGTGTCCTGTCCTGGCCCTATGCAGCCCAGGCGGGTGACTCTGCTGCCCCCGCCCCCTAACAGGCCCACCCCTCCTGTGGGGCCTCACGCCATAAGGGTCTCTTGCTTACTGGCTGGGTCATGAGCTGCCACCTCTCTGAGCCCTGAATTCTGGGGTGTCATGTGCCAAGTTGTGGTAAGTGAGCAGTAAATGTGTGCTGAGCGAGTGGCTCAGGGAAGAGCCTGTGAGCCCTGAGGAGACTCCTGGCTGGAGGTTGAGGAGGAGGTGGTACGGTCTGAGGGAGAGCTCACAGGCTGTGTTTATGAGCGTCCCATTCTCCAAACCTTGATTTCCTCACCTTTAAAGTGGGCGTTTTACTCTGTGACACAGGTAACTTGTGAGATGACAGTAGACTGCAGGCTAGGGTCCGATAGGGAGGACCAGTGCTCTTTGGCATTTCTTCCCCTCCTTCCTTGGGTGGACTCTCCCTCTGTGCATGCACCCCCAACCCCCACACCCGCCGCCAGGCCCCCTGGAGGCTCTGACTCCACCCCTGTCTGCGGCAGGAGGAGCTGGAGCACCTGAACCAGGCCAGTGAGGAGATCAACCAGGTGGAGCTGCAGCTGGATGTGAGTGTTCTGCCCCAGGTGTTTTCATGTGTCTTCCTCCCTTTTCGGCACAGTGGCAGGGAAGGGACGATAAGGGAAAGGGGAGGGCTTGGGGCCCACAGACATGGTGTCCTCTGCATACACATTTGTCCCTTTGCCAGGAGGCCAGGACTACCTACCGGAGGATCCTGCAGGAGTCAGCGAGGAAGCTCAACACTCAGGGCTCCCACTTGGGAAGCTGCATCGAGAAGGCCCGACCCTATTATGAGGCACGGCGGCTGGCTAAGGAGGTACGGCCCCCTGATCCTCGCTGTGGAGGGGCCATGCGCTGAGCCTGGCCAAGGATTCTTCCTCTGTGCAGAGTGGGAAACAGATCGCCTTTTCTCGCCTTTTCTCTCCTCTTCTCTCCTCTTCTCTCCTCTTCCCTTCCCCTTCCCCTTCCCCTTCCCCTTCCCCTTCCCCTTCCCCTTCCCCTTCCCCTTCCCCTCCCTCCTCCCCCTCCCCTCCCCTCCCCTCCCCTCCCTCCCCTCCCCCTCCCCTCCCCTCTTTTTTCTTACCCTCCACTGCTTTACCCATTTTCCTCCCTTTTCTTCACACAAATAATGTAGATTCACCATTAGAAGACTGTAAGTATAAGAGTAAAACAAGAGAAAGAGAAGAAAACCAAAATTGCCCCAAATTCTGCCATGCACGTTTCATGAGTTTTATACCTGGGATTTGTCATGTGTGGTGAGGTGACCGAGGCAACGGCAGTTCCCAAGAGCAGGGCCCTGCGGCATCATGCACGTCCATGTGAAGAAGCGCCTGGGTTGGTCAGGAGGCTGAAGGCACCAGGTGAAAGCTTGGCCCACGCCTTTTTTGTGTGATTTTCGTGGGAAGGAATGGGTGAGGCAGAGTTGACAGCTCTGGCCACACTGAGGGCGGGATGGTTTGACTCTCGGGGGCGGGCTCTGAGTAAGGGGCGCGGGCCCTAGCTTTCTGGTGCGTGGCCCTGGGTGATCAGGACAGAGGCAGTACGGGCTGGTGTGTGAGAGTCGGATGCGGGAGGCGGCGCGTGTGGCACTGGCTGGTGTGAATGTGAAAGGCGTGGCATTTACTTTCTCGGGAATCAGCTCGGCAGGGCCGGCAGGGCCCCTACCACAGCGAAGTATGGTAACATACAGAAAATAAACAATACAATTAATACGGTACAGATAACCCATTAAAAGTTTTTGTATAAATCGTGCCAAAGTGGTATTATGCAATATATGCTGTTTTTTAAAATGTATTAATAATTACTGTTTTAATCCTCATCCGAGGACATGCTTATTTAGTTTAGAGAGAGAGAAGAGATGGGGGGAGAGAGAGGGAGAGGAACATCTTTTGATTGCTTCCTCCATGGGCACCAACTGGGGACCAAACCCACAACCTCGGCATGTGCCCTGACCAGGAACCTGCCCCACGCCTGACCTTTGGGTGTACGGAGTGGTCCCCCAGTCGGCTGACCCACTCGGCCAGGGCTGTGTGCTGCTTTTGTTCCTCTGTTTCACTTATCATAGGTCCGTGTCAGTAAACATTCACTCATCCTTTTTAAGGGCTGCTGAACATTTCCTTTCATGAGACATACCGTATTTGTTTAACCAGTTCCCTGGAACAGAACTCAGGTTTGTGTTTCCAATGTTTTGTTTGGGAAGCAAAGCTGGGACGCCTGTCTCTGAGCGCCTGTCTGATTATTTCCATCACCTTCCCTGCTGGACTGGCGTCGATGGTCCCGGGCAAACTTTCTTTCCGGGAGACTCAGTCCCTGTCACTAATTCCCTTGCAGCCCACATGGGGTGGACTGCTTTTGTCCTGCGTGAGGCAGAAGGCCAGCGGCCTTGGACACTGCTGGCTCTCTCACTGTCACTCTCCGCGGGCAGCATCACGCCTCTCCGTCTCCTCGGGCCAGGCCCTTACAAAACATTCTCTGTAGTGTTGCTTCCTTGGTCGGCATTTATCCTCAGCTCAGTGTGAGAAGTGAAGCAGATGTTGCAAAGGACCTTCCTCCTCGTGGCCTCACCCAGGATAGGTCTCCACGGTCCACGGGGAGGCCCTCGGGATGCCCCATTCTGACGACCCTCTCCCCCCAGGCCCAGCAGGAGACACAGAAGGCAGCCTTGCGGTACGAGCGGGCTGTGAGCATGCACAATGCTGCCCGGGAGATGGTGTTCGTGGCTGAGCAGGGAGTTATGGCCGACAAGAACCGGCTGGACCCTACGTGGCAGGAGATGCTCAACCACGCCACGTGCAAGGTGAGCCAGGCCATTGCCGCAGCCCCTCCCCGGGCCCCCTTGCACCCCTTTGCCGTCTCCTCATTTCATCTCCCTCTCCGCTCCTCTCTCTCCCACTGCAGCCTTCCCTCCGCGTTAACTCTGGTTCAGACAGGCCTGCTCCTTGCTCTGCGCCGTTCGGCCCCCGGTGCTCCCCATGTACATCTTTCTCCTCTGGGGTCGGACTCTTGGGCTCTTTCTGAACATTTCCCTCCAGGTGCGGGACGAACCCAAACCGTCCATCCCTGCTGGATGCTCTGCCGTCAGCACGCACATTTTATTATGTTTCACTGTGACCCCTTCTATTTTCAGAATATTCTCCCTTTCTTGCTTGTAAGCTCTGCCACTGTACTTTGATATTTGACGTGTGATTTGTGTACCATTTCCAAGGTACTCGAGGGGACTGGGGAGCGGGGGGACTCCTGACATCGGCCCTGGTCCGCCACCCTCACCATGTAAAAAGCAAGTGTCTCAGTCCAGTCAGGCCATGGAAACAAAATCACACACAATGGGGCCTTAACCAGCACACGTTTACTTCTCACAGCTCTGGAGGCCGGGCAGTCCAGCCTCAAGGCACAGGCAAAACTGACGCCTGGCGAGGGGCCCCTTCCCAGTTTCAAGACTGTGGACCGTCTTTTCATTATGGCAGAAGGGGCAAGGGGGCTCTCCGGAGCCCTTCTACAAGGACACCAATCCCACCCATGGCCTAATCGCATAGGGCCACCTGCAATAATGTCAACGTGGTGGTTAGGGTTTCAGCTATGTGAACTTTGGCGGGGGGCACAGTCTAGAGCAGCAGGTGTGAGCTCCTGAGGGGTGTCCATGCCTCAGGTTCTCTGAGGCTCCTTGGTCCAGGCCCCCAGACTGGCACCAAGCAGGAGCTCACGCAGAGCAATGCAGCACTAAGGAGGGCCTTTTAGCTGTGAGTAGCAGGGCATGACAGAGCTCCAGTGTGCATCTGCCCAGGGCGTGTTGGTCCCCTAGTGCTGGTGGACAAGGTGGCAGGAACCCTCGTGTGCTCCCTGTTGGGCCATGGAAATCCAGAGAACCCAGTGCAGAGCTGTGGCTCCCCACACTGCGGCTCCTCCGGGTCTTCCAGCTCCCACACCCGGGCGATGCCTGTGGCCCAGACAGACACTCCCAGTAGGCTCACATGCTGTCCAGGGGACCCTGCACCCTCCTGGTGGGAGCGAAGCTGAGCGGCGATAGAGCAGCTGACGACAGTAGGCACAAGGGCCCACTCTTCTCTCTGTCTTGGGGGATCCATGCCCTGTACTGGCTCTGCAGACAGTGGGGGTTTCCCCCAGAGTAACATCTGGAGTGGCAGCCTGGAGGCAGAAGCTTGTCCTCCAGCTCAGTGACATTTGTCATCCGCCTTTCCTGGGCCAGGTGAATGAGGCAGAGGAGGAGCGACTTCGTGGCGAGCGGGAGCACCAGCGGGTGACACGGCTGTGCCAGCAGGCCGAGGCTCGGGTGCAGGCCCTGCAGAAGACCCTCCGGCGGGCCATCGGCAAGAGCCGCCCCTACTTTGAGCTCAAGGCCCAGTTCAGCCAGATCCTGGAGGTAGCTGGGGCGGGAGGGGCAGATGGGTAGAGGCAGGCTTGGAGAATGAAGGCAGCGAGAACGCCTGTGGTCCACCTCTGCACCATCACTAGGCCAGCGAGGTGGGACAGGTGGTGGCGCCTGTGCTCACATTGACTCCAGGGAGCGGGTTGGAGGCAGATGCTGGCTGAGAATGGAGTTACAGAGAGGTAAAGGAGAAAAAGTGGGAATTGGGAAACCAGGAAGGATGAGAAAGAGGAACTGGCTAGTTAGAAAAAGACGACCCTGGAAAGAGAGGAGTGCTGGGTGGGGATGAAGACCTCGGAGGAGGATGCCTTTGGGCTTAAGAACTGAGCAGAGCCTGAAGAGGTTGGGGGGGCGGAGCAGAGGGAGCAGGACTGGCAGCTCCCAGCTGTGGAGCGTTGCCTACTGGGTTAAGTCACTCAGCCCCTCCTTCCCTTCCTCCTCAGGAGCACAAGGCTAAGGTGACAGAGCTGGAGCAGCAGGTCTCTCAGGCCAAGACCCGCTACTCTGTGGCCCTGCGCAACCTGGAGCAGATCAGCGAGCAGATTCACGCACGACGCAGGGGCCTGCCCACTCACCCCCCGGGCCCTCGGCGGTCCTCCCCTGTGGGCGCTGAGGCTAGGCCAGAAGAGGAGGATGGAGACAGCGGGATCATTGAGGGGGCTGAGGGCGGAGCCCCGGAGGAGGGCTGCAGCCTGGGGCCTGCTCCCGCTCGGGATTCGGACACGCTGAGCCTGCTGAGCCTGCGAACAGTGGCCTCGGACCTGCAGAAGTGTGACTCCGTGGAGCACCTACGGGGCCTCTCGGACCACGCCAGTCTAGACGGCCAGGAGCTGGGTCCCCAGAGCAGGGGTCGCGGGGGCCGCCACCAGCGCAGCATCAGCCTGTAGCCCATGCTCAGGGTGGCTGTGTGTCTCTTACCGCTGCTGGCCTGTGCAGGGCTGTGTGGGCTCCCAGCTCCTCTCCTGGGGGCCTTGCCTCCCCCGGAGCAGCTGGGTGGGCTGTGACTGACTTCTCGTCAAATATCTGGCCCTCACAGTGTCCATGCTCTTTGGTGGCCTCTCTGACTTCTCTCCTTCCGCCTGGCTTTTCCCCTCAGGGAATTTGGTCTGGGAGGTACAGGGAAGCCCATCACAGAAGGTGGGACCTGAATCCAGCATCTTGGGCCCCCAGCTTGAGTGGGTGGACAGGTGTTCCTTCTCTCTGTCCCCTGAGGGGCCCTGGGGATGTGGCAGAGCCCTCCTGGCCACCCTGCCCCATGCTCTGTCTCAGTGTGCCTGTGTGACCTGTAAAATGCACTGTGGGGCTGTGTGCCTCTGGAAGATGCAACCCCTGACCCTTCAGCGCTCCCTTCTCATGACCTAAGCCGCTTTGCGCCGGGTGCCCCAGAGCAAGACTTAAACGGTGCTGCTGTCAGGAGCGGGGGAACCCGGCCCCAGTGCCAGCATGGGGGCTTCACCAACTCCACGTGGGCTACTGTGTGCTTTGTTTCCCCAGCAACATCCCCCTTGGGCCCTCAACATCGCCAAGGTGCTAGTGGGTCTCTGATAGGGCCCCTGTAGGGAGGAGAGACGTGAGGTTCTGATGCAGAGTGAGGTTTACTATAGAGGATGCTGAGCTGGATCTTGGCCTCCTGCGGGATGGAGTTAAGAATTTGGTGCTCTTCCCCCAACCAAACCATACCTCCTCAGAGGTCCCTTGGGGAATGCTCTACTGCGGCTGCCCTTGCCCTGGGGAGGACCGGTCCTGCGGGGGGCAGCTCCAGGCGGCTGCTGGGGCTGCTGGGCTGTGTGCAGGGGGGGAGGGCGGGGAAGCCACGCTGAGCCTGGGTGCCTTGGAGGGACTAGTGGTTCCGGCCCCAGGCCTGGAGGCCGGAGGACTGTCAGCGGAGCGGCAGGCCTGCACGTGGGCACTGTCCCCTGTTCCAGGGTTCAGGCAGGATGGTCACGATGAGAACCCCTGGGTTTGAGGTGGCCGTGTGTGTGCGCGCGTGTGCCGGGGGCGGGGGGCGGGCAGGGAAGGGTCTGTCCCAGATTTTATTTAAATAAAAGTTTACGTAACAGTAGTGTTTACTACTACCCCTGTCCCAGAAAGGAGATGAGAGAAGGGAAGAGCAGGGTGATGGGGGCCGCTTTTGGTGGGGTGGTCAGGGAAGGCCCCGGGGAGGTAAGAAAAATTGGGATCTGTGATCTGACCAGGCCAAGGGGGAAGGGAAAGTTCCTGGCCTCACAGCCCTTATGAGCCGCAGGGGAGGCGCCCCTGCGCACGCTGCCTGCTGGGCGCGGACAGGTGGGTAGGGTAGGGTAGGTTAGAGTGGACTTGCTGGCTGCTCATGGACTGTGTGAGTGTCACTCCTGCATGTGAAGGAGTGCAAGAGAAAGGCAGTCTGGTTAGCCTTGAATTTCATTCAGTGAACAAGTTTTTGCCCCCTTACTGTTAAAAATCATAGTTATTTCTGTTCTCTCTGAAATTACATTTTAACAGACAAAAGGTGACTCCCAAATGAGGGCTTGACCTGTTGTGGGTCAAGAAGGGTTTCAGTGCTTTTGGATGCCAGCCTGTGAAAGGGGGAGGCGTCAGGTGGGGAAGGGCTGAGAGCTTCAAGAGCAGGAGGTGCCCCAAGGCTTGGGGCTGAGCCCCGTCGTCGGGCACGCCTGCACTTACAGCAGCTGAGGGTCAGTGTTGGCGAACGGGGGTGGAGAAGGTGCTCCTGGGAGAGGGGGAGGCCCACCGGGGACCTGGTGGGAAATGAGGCCTGAAGACCCTGAAGGGGCTGATGAAGGCCCGGAGTTGGAGGGGCAGGACAGAGCAGTGACAGGTGGCATCAGATGGGGACACCAGGAGCCGCTGTGTGCAGAGCATGCACTCGTGCCGTGACAGGTACTGACCAGGTGTGGGGCTGCCTTTACTGAGAAGTAAGGGGGAGTGTGGTAAGGCAGATGGGCGCCACGCTGTCCCATTTGTCACTAAGAAGGCGGCCGTGCGTGCATGACCCCTGTCCTTGGGCAGGTGAGCTTTCTGAGCTGACACATCATCCTTCCCTCCCTGGTCCCTGGCAGCGTGGACCTGTGAGGCTCCTGCTGTGAAAGGGGCTGTCTGTGGCCGCCTGTTTCTTGTAAAATCGCCTGCCACGTAAGACAGGAGTGGGGAGAAACCAGGAAGGTTAGAGCTGGCGACACTTCTTCCAAGTGGAATAAAATGGCCACAGCGCAACAACCCTCAGGGTATGCCCTTGTGCCAGGCACGTGCACCGACCCATTGCACCCCTGCGGTGGGGTTGGTGGCACCGCAGCTGCCTTTTCCAGATGGGAAACAGGCACAGTGGCAGTGCCCAGTCTGTTCCAGCTTAGAGGAGGAGATGGAGGCAGTTGGATTCTTAAGAATGAGTTCAAACTTGAGCCCTTGAGTTGAGGACCTCACAGGAACCAGAGGTGACACAGCAGAGGCAGTGGGGGTAGTCGCCTCTTTAGGAAGTTTTGCTGGAAATCCTGGAATGGTCAAGGTGTTGTGTTAAATGGAGCAAGGTGGTCAGGTTGTGGGGGACGTGGGGCCCGTGCCCCCCTTTCCTGGACTATGTCCCATGTCACAAGGAGTGGTAAAAGTGCCTCTGAACCATGCCCTCAAGTGAGCAGCTCCCCGGCGCCCAGCGCACACCTGATGCCTAACCAATGCTCGGTGACCATGCTTTTGCACCCCTCCCCCTCACATGCTCCCAGTCTGATGTACAGCTGGTCACCCGTGGTTAGGTGGGAGTTCTCCAGTGTCTCTCTGCTTAAGCGTCATCACAGGCGATGATTAGGTCCAGGTGTATCAGTCTGTTGCGAGCCAGTGCGTGCCAGCCACTCCATGTCAACAGTAAATCTATGCAAGGGGCTGGACAAGAAGGCCCTTTATAGAGCCCCACCTACAGCTTGGTCTCCCTCAAGGTGTGATTGCAAGGGGTGGGCTCCTGGCACGTCACGCCCCACACTCTCCGCAGGGGGCGCAGCAGCAGCGCATGCCCCTGTCTGTCCTGTGAGGTTCCTTCGGGAAGCTCTGGGCCCTTGGTGGGCTGGTGGGTGCTGCGCCGGCGCGCCTGTCAGCCCGTCAGCTCCTGCTCAGGCCTCCGCCCCGTCCGTCTGTATTGCACACGAGGTAAAAGTGAGCTGGGCCAGCTGTACAGGGTGGCCTGGCATTTGGGACCAGGTGTTCCATGGCTGTTGCCCCGTCCTCTTCCTCAGCCCATCTTTCTCATTCTTCGGGCCCAGTGCTTGCCCCTTCCTCAGCCTCCCGCCACATTGTCCTCCTGAGCAGCCATTCTCCCCCCGGCCCCATTCCTGAGCTGCAGCCTCTGCACTGTGCCCTCCCAAAACTGACAGAACCAGGGATCATTTCACTGGCTGGCAAACGGGTGAGTGCAGTTTATTAAATATTTCCCTGGATCCTTCTTAGTACAAAACACTGGCAGGGCTTGCTAGCAACACAAGAATGTGTGTGGGGCGTCCAGGTGAGGAACACGGGTGCATGCATGTAACAGGTGCATGCAGGGCAGTGCACATTGACTAGTGGGGGCTGCCATCAAGGAGGGTTTGGGGAGGCTGGGAAGAATGGAGCGCTTTGAGCAGGGTATGCAAGACCTTGAAGCTGGGACCTAGCCACTGGGTGCAGGCTGGACAGGTGCTGGCAGGAGGTCCCTCGCCCCCAAGTCTTCCTGACTCTAGGCTTCACTCTTCTGAAATCTGTCCTGAGCCCCTCCAGCCAGGGTCTGTGCCGCACCCATCTTGGTGTTCTCAGGGTCTGGCACATGGCACTGTCCCTCAATCATCTGCCTGCTAACTTTCTCACAACTTGTGTTACTCTTGACGCATTTTCCCTGCTTAACCTTCCTGCTTCCCCAAGCAGGGCTGCCCGGGGCCAGCACCAATGTGTGGGCTCTTGACTTCGTGTAGGACAGACTTCACAACATGAGTCCAGGTGACTATTAGGGTATGTTTATTAAAGGTGGTACAGTAAAATGAGGGAGGGCGTAGCCCAGAAGAGCAACAGGAGAGCCCAGGCTGGGCTGCCTGCGCTCGCTGGGAAGTCAGAGGAAAGAGGGCCTTGGGGATGGGTCGGGGGTTTAGCCCAGGACAAGCTGCCACTGCCCATGGATCTGATTGCTAGTCTTGGGGCTCCTTAGGATTTGGGAGAGGCATACCTGTGGGAAAAGAAGTCGGGGAAGATGGAGGGAAAGGGAACTGTTGCCCAGAGGAGCGCATGTGTGCTGGGTCCTTTGCCTTGAGGCTTTTCTCTCTCTCTTGCAGGTGGGGATCTTAGGAGCAGTCTCAGGGGAGGTCTCAGCAGACCATTCATCAGTTTCCACATGCACCCTTTCAGGGTCCCTGTCTCCTCTGATGGGTCAGTGACAGGGAAGGGGCTGTTCGTCATTGCAGTTGATTCTGACATTGCCCACCTGGTTTTGCTGCTCTTCTGGGCCTGGAGCTGAAATACAGCTGAGGCCCAATGTCATCTCCAGGGACATGGCCCTTTGTATCTGACTGTATAGTGTTCTGACATTGTGTTCAGCTCTCTGTCTCAGTTTCCCTACTCAACTTGCCAAGGAATTTTCCTAGCTTCTTACTGTCCTGTCTCACTTAGAGATGCCTGGACACTCACTGAGCCCGAGACAGATTTATAGCCCTTCCCATCTTGTCTCAAGGTGCCTAGGTGTGGCCCTCCCTGGATCTGTCCGCAGTCTGCAGCCACCTGCCAGCTTGAAGTTTATGCCTCAGATGTCAGGAAAATCACTGATAAACTCTGTTTCAAACATGCTCCACCTTCCACTGGCTCCCACAGTATTTGATATCTCATAATTGGAAACCAGATGTTATAAGTGAACTAAAGACATAGGCGGAACCCATAGGAGACATCGGGAACAGCTGAACTTCTTGCTGGAAGTAGCCACCCTATGGCCTGAGGTAGCAGAGGACCCAGAGAGCTGGGTCTCAGGATGTGCCCTAGGCCCTCTGGGCAGCGCCGCCCCATCAACTCCATGAGGATTTGTCTGCCTGGGACTGAGCTGAAGCTGAACAGGCTGGTCTAATCAAAACAAGTGTTTTTTTCTTGAGGACTTGTAGGTTCTGAGAATTTTGTTTCTTTGTGAACATGATCTTTCAATTATGAACATGAACATCTCACAATGAAATGAGAACAGGGGAATCTGTGCCCCTCACGTATCCTTCATCATTCTGATACCCTGGCCCAGACATAAATATCTCTGCAACTTATTTGAAAAGCACATTCTCAGGTCCCCCCTGCCCTGAGATACTGGGTCAGGAGCTTGGGATGCAGCTGGGGATGGCACCTAATTTGTTCATAGGCCCTCCAGATGATCCTGGTGGTCACTGGAGTTTGTGAACAGGCAGGACTGGGAATATGGCAAACACATTGCTGCACTGAATGCCTAAGACTGGTCATTTCACTTACCTTTTAAAAAAATATTTTATTGATTATGCTATTACAGTTGTCCCAATTTTTCCATCTTTGTCCCCCTCCACCAAGTACCCCCTTCCCTCCAGCAATCTCCCCCTTAATTTATGGCCATGGGTTATGCATATAAGTGCCCCTCAAGGTGTCCCTCCTGATTTTCACCCACCACATGTGAATGTGGGGCTGCCTGTTTTGCCACTGCCTCCTCTCCATGCCACACTGTGTCTGCTTGTCTCTCCACTCCTCTCTGCATCTCCATCCCTCCCACCCCTCTGGATGAATGTGGATTCTTCAAATCCTTGGTTG